CTTGTCAGCACCTCAGGAAATGTATAAAGAACAGTATGGAGAATATGCATGATGAAATTAGGGTGTAAAGGGTTAAATGACCAAGACCATTTTAGCTGGTTGTGATTACTAGATTATAATTTCATGGAGCATGTAACTTTTGGGAATATGGTAGATGTACAATGTGCATGTATGGTAATTACTATGTACTTATTGACTGAGTGGGACTTATTGACTGAGTGGGAGGGTTGGACAGTTAAATATTTGACTTGAGGTCATAAGGAATGGACCAAGCACATTGAGGACAGTTCACCATGACCGAGCAAACTCAGTCAATAAGCATTTTATTATATGACCGCTAAATGTTAAAAATTTTGAAAATTTTGTTTGAACCCAGTATATGACAAACTGGTGCAACCACAAAAAATATAAAAACTTTTCCTTTGTCTTTTCAAGTCAGAACCATAAAAACACACAATTCATCGAAACACAATTTTTTTGTACTCTTTTCTCTTTTTCCTTTAAGTTTTTGCAAGAAAGCCATGTGAGTGTAGGGCTGGACTAATATCTCTGGACTGGCTTTTGGTCAATCCATCCGGCCCTACACACATTAGTCTTCAGTATGGTTTTCTATAAAATTGCACTGCATTAAGTCAGATATGAAGCTAGAGGGTATGCCAATTTAGTAAGGGGCATACTTAGCTGTGCTTCTACCATGTTATGAATGAGTTTCTCTTACAGTGCAGGATATAGCCTGGTTTTTTAACCACTTAAAAATTCTCCTGGCCCTGAATATAGTCAGATTATTACACCCCATCCAAACCTTTCCCTGGTCAAAAAAACATTTGATAAAACCATTACCCAGAGCTTCCATCCTCCTTACTTACCCTCTGCATCAACCCTGTCCCATATCTTTTTATTTTTAGAAACACCTCCCACAGGGTTTTTTGTGGGTGTTTACATAATAGCCAATCATAAGAGAGCTGTGGTCCTTTATTGTTTACATCACATGCAGAGAAGAAATAGAGGTCAGCCTTCGCCTTTGGCTGCCAATTTTTTTAGGGTGTTAAGCAAACGTCAGCATGTTTTCGCCGGAAATTAAAGAACCCC